CAGAGATTGTGAATCCTCATTTATAAACTATCACAGGGTGGATGTTTGAAAAAGACCTTGCTGCATGAATATTTATTTTGTTTAAATGCACACAGAGCAGGATTCCTGATTAGTACATTTTCTGTGTCAAGAAAAAGAGGAAGAGAGTGAATTATATATGGGATGAAGTATAAATTTTCACACAAAAAAGAACAGAAAAGGAAAACCCCCCACCCCAACACAATCTAAAGATTTACAGGGAAGGCTGAGCCCAAAATGTGTTACACAATGAGTGTTCTGCATAAGAAATGATGCAGGTTATTGCTCCTGAGAAACATCCAGTCATCATTGTCCTTATGGCATCCTTGAGCTCCTGGTTCCTCAGGCTGTAGATGAGGGAGTTCAGGGCTGGAGGCACCACCGAGTACAGAACTGACACAATCAGATCCAGGGATGGGGAGGAGATGAAGGGGGGCTTCATGCAAGCAAATGTGCCAGTGCTGAGAAACAAGGAGACCACAGCCAGGTGAGGGAGGCATGTAGAAAAGGCTTTGTGCTGTCCCTCTTTAGAGGGGATCCTCAGCACAGCCCTGAAGATCTGCACATAGGAGAAAATAATGAAAAGGAAACAACCAAATGCTAAACAGGCACTGAAACCAAGAAGCCCAATTTCCCTGAGGTAGCCTGAGTGTGAGCAGGAGAGCTTGAGGATGTGTGGGATATCACAGAAGAACTGACCCAGGGCACTGCCCTGGCACAGGGGCAGGGAGAATGTATTGGCTGTGTGCAGCAGAACATCGAGAAACCCAGAGGCCCAGGCAGCTGCTGCCATGTGGGCACAAGCTCTGCTGCCCAGGAGGGTCCCGTAGTGCAGGGATTTGCAGATGGCAACGTAGCAGTCATAGCACATCATGGTCAGGAGGGAAAACTGCTGACATGAGAAACATAAACAGAAACACTTGGGCTTTGCATCCTCCACAGTAGATGGTTGTGGTGCCCCAGAGGGAGTTGTGCATGGCTTTGGGCACAGTGGTGCAGATGCAACCCAGGTCTGTGAGGGAGAGGTGCAGCAGGAAGAAGTCCCTTGGGCTGTGCAGGTGCTGGTCGCAGACTACGGCGCTGAGGATGAGGTCGTTGCCCAGAAGGGCAGCCAGGGAGATGCCCAGGAAGAGCCAGAAGTGCAGGAGCTGCAGCTCCCTCCTGTCTGCCGATGCCAGCAGGAGAAACTGGGCCACGGAGCTGCTGTTGGGCATTTGCTGTTCCTTAGCACAGGGTCTGTTCAGAAAAGGAAAAGACAGGGAACAATTAAGAGAGACCCCTCTCAGCAGAGATATTCCATCTTTCATAGTAATCCCCCCAAATTAATTGTATTTCCCTAATTCTGGCTCAGAGTGCTGTGAGCAGCAGGAGCTCTGCCCATGTGCTTCCAAGGGCTCAGTTTTGCTCTGCTGCAGTGGGGACATGGAGCTGGTTTGTGACAGCTTTCATGGTCACACGAGTGTCAGATGTAACTCACCTTAAAGGGAAAAGCTCCATCTCTGACCTCTCTGCTGATCAAAAGAGAGTGGAATGCAGAATAGAGGCTTATATTATCCTTAGAATAATTTTTTATGTTACATATGTTCCACCATGAAATCTGCAGAATGTTCTTTTTAGGAGTAAAAATTCCTATTTTTATGACTGAAAATGTGAAGAGCCTTGAGAAAAGACAAGAGACGAAAGGGCTCATCTCTCTGTAATTGAAAGAGGACCCAGGAGATATACAGAGTCCTTTAGCCTGTTTCCCATCTGCCCTCCTCTTTGTGCTGCATTCACTTTGATTTCACACAAATAAATATTGAAAAACACACCCACAAATACCTGTGCAGTGCTGAGAACAGGACAATGTTGCTTCCAAGGGCAGCTCTGTGCAGTGTCCCCTGTGCCAACCCAGAGGTGCAGCTGTGCCGGACAGAGCAGGACAGGAGCTCTCCCGCAGGGAAGCCAAGGGCTGACACAGGACAGTGCCCACCCCCAGGGGAAGGCTCAGCATTGCCCAGGATCCTGGGCTCATTTCTGAGACTCCCTGAAATATTCACCTTGGAGAGTAAAAGGGTTGGAATTGGAGCGCAGTCTACTGAGCTGAGAGAACAATGTCTGTGCTCCAATGCCTAAGCAGGAAACACACAGCAGGAACAAATTCCTTTCCTGGAACCCCTGTCTTTTCTGAGCTGTGCCAAAAATTCTCCATGAAATATCCTGTAGTGGTGTGGACCTGTGAACAGGTCTGAGCCTGCAACAGCGAGACATGGAAAAGATCCTCCCTGCCCTGCCAGGCTTTCTCCTTGCCCAGAGCCCTCCTGCCCCAGCCCTGGGACCAGCTCCCAGGGCTGGCTGAGAGCTGCCCCGGCAAGCAGCAGAGTCCCTGCCCAGCACAGTGCCCTGGGCTGCAGGCCCCTGCTCTGCTCCACAGCCCTGGGCAACCCTGGCTGCACCCCTGGCTTCACAGCTCTTCCCAACTGCCCCAAAACAGACCCTCCTCACCCATCCCATCAGCTGGGGCTGGGCCAGCTTGATCAGATGCCTCCACAAGCTCCTACTTCTGCAGGCCCCTGCACTGCCCTGCAGCCAGACACACCGTGTCTAGCCCTGCCAAGATTCCTCCTGCAGGGAGCTCTCAGCCCTCCTGCCAGTGCTGAGCCCCTTTCAACTCTGCCTGTGCCCTTCTGGTGTCCCTGGGTTGCCCTGGCAGTGCCCTCATCCCTGCTGGGCTGTGCAGAGGAGCTGCTCCTGGGCAGAGCTGTCTCTTTGAAACTCCTCTTGGTTGCCAGGAGCTGCCTGCATGCCAGGAGCCCAGCCCAGCTCAGCAGCACAGCAAAAGCCCCAGGCATTTCATCACCCTCAGGGGTTTTGGGGTTCTTTACATGAGAGTTCCTGAGAATAAGTTCAAACAACTTCTCAAGAAGTCCAAGTGAGATTGAAACACTAAAGTTTCTTGCAGTGCTAATGAGTCTCACTGAGGGACACAACTGAGAACGTGTCCCCGGTTCCACTTAGAGCAGAAAACTGCAGACGGTGATGACAAGGATGGACAAGCAACAGAAAGGTGGCTCTTGTGTTGGGGAAACCTGGATGTGTTTCCCTAATCCAAAGGACCAAGGCCTGACCCCCAACCCCTGGGAAGGAAGATCCTGTCCCTGCCTCATTGCTCAGGGCTCTTCCTGGGGGACTGGGATGTGGGATGTGCAGTGCCAAGGGCAGGACGATGGGGTGGCACCTCCCAGGCTGCTGAGCAGGGACAAGGAGGCCAGGAGGCCCCAGGGTTGCAAGGGCCACTTGTCTCCTCCTGGCATCAGGGGCACAACCAGCAGCCATGTCCAAAGGCCTGCAGAACGTGGCTGTGTCAGGGCCTTTCAACTTCTGCACAGGCCTCTCTGCTGTGCAGCCCAGGCTGTCCTACGG